GTTTGACTTCGAGACCTGTAATTTTCATAAAACTCTTCCTCATTCTTAAGACCTCAGGTCAACAGTCATTTCGTCCAGAAACACTCCCTGACTCCTGGCCTAGGTCAGAGCTCCCTATTACATGCTCACAAAGCACTAGTGCTTCTCCTTTGTAGCCTTGTTACAGATGCATTTTTTAAAAATAAACTTTTTATTTTGGAATAATTTTGGATTTACAGAAAATTGCAGAGATAGTAAAAGAGTTCCCATATACATCTCACCCAGTCTCCTAATGTTAACATCTTAAATTACTTTGGTATATTTGTCAAAACTAAAAACCAACATTGGCACGTTACTGTGGACTCAACTTCAGATTTTATTTGCATTTCACCAGTTTTTCCACTTATATCCTTTTTCTTCTCCGGGCTCCAATTCAGGGAACCACACTACCTTTAGTTGTCATGTCTCCTTGGTCTCCTCTGGTCAGTAGCAGGAGGATATACATTTGATACTAGTGAATAGACTAGTCATCATTGGAGGAAAGACTGCAAATATTTTCTTGGAACTCAACCAAGCAAGTCTTAGGCATTACAGGACCTAAGAAAGGAAGACACCTACAGGCAAATGAAGTTGTATTACATTTTGTTACCAAGATACATGAAAATGATACATTTTATCACCTGCCAGGGCAGTGTGCCTGAAGGTAGAAAAAATTCCTATAAATCTCCTAGAAGAGATGAAGGAAATTTTGACACATTGGGACTTTGATGTGGTTGACTTGTGCATCATCGAGTTCTATTGTTAACGCGTGTTATCATAGCTTAAGTGACTGAGAATTTTTCCCTTCCCTAAAAGTGTATAAAATGATGGTGCATCTTAAAATAGATGATGTCTCAGATTCAACGAAATACTGTACCTGATTGGCTTAATAGATGTGGGTAGGCAACATTTTGACTAGATTTGATGCCTTATTAAATACAAACCTGATGAACCTTGCTGTGCCATAGGCTGTGCGGAGCTCAGTGCCTGCTCTAAATAGACATGAATTGGGGTGGGAGGGGTGGGGGCAACAGGGAGGGAAGGGTTTAGCTCCTCAGTGATGATTGAGGGGAAGCTTGTGAGATTTTTTCAATAGTGGGCTTTAGGATCAGTTGGGTGGGCTGTATGCATCCTATTATTGACAAAGTAGTGACATTTTTAGTTTATGTGCATTAGACATGATATTATCTCTGTGGGATTAAACAGTTCTTAATTATATCATTAATTATACGTAAATGAGCGTAGCCTACCACTGCATGTGCCCTAGGCAAAACATTTTTTCCCTTGAGAGTGTCAGGCATGGCCTCCTTCAGGTTAGGCGGGCTGACTATGGTCCTAGGACAGCAGCTAGGTAGCTAGTCCACACAAGAGTGCATCTCACTTAGGAGCGGGATCTGAATGCCCAGCAGAGCTTTCTCACAATCCACGTGCTGGGGTCTCACCACAGACCTGGTGGGTGCTGTGTTCCTTTAAAGTGTGCGGCCTAACAGGGACCACTCCAAGCTGTGGAAAGCAGCACAGAGAGCCTTCTCTCTGAACTCAACATCACTCCTCTGAAAGAGCACGTGCGTTAGTCCACACTGGAGACATATTCATGAGTGGGCTTCTTAGAGCACTTACTCCAGCCTCTTCACCTAAGAGTTGAAGAATCGGGGAGATTGTCCTGCCTCAAACATAGCTGCTGACAGACTTTGAACGAGAACTCAGACCTCCAGACCCCCAATCGAGCATCCTTTTTTAACACAGTGCTACCTCTGCTCCTGTGAAAACAAATAGCTCTGAAAGGGAAACACTTTAAGCCTTTTGGGGGGGCTTAATGAGTTGCTTCTTTCCATTTTCCCTAAATTTTAGCCACTGCAGACTCTGCTATTATGCCACCCATTTTCACGGCACTGTACTTTTGCCTGTGTTGTTTGTCAGCCTTGCCCTCCCTTGTGTACCTAACAGACTCCTCCTTATCCTTTAAGCCCAGCCCAACTCTCATCTCTTCCCAGAAGCCACTGAAATTCAACCCCATCCCCTGCCCAATCTCCAGGAGAATCCACCACTTTCTCACCTACATCGCTTTGCCTTTGAATAAATGTTGATTAGAGCATCTCTCACTGTAATTCCTTTAGCTTTGTTTGTACATGACTGTGTTCCCAGCTGAAGTGGTATTCATACTCTATGCCTCCCTAGGGTGGGTCTAATGCTAGCATAAAACCACTCCTCAATTAATGACTGTTGGATGAATGATTGCAGAATCAGTTGAGAGCAAGAAATGCTGTGGGGAAATAAGACGTAAAATGTGTATCGGGTGGTGATAGTTGGGAGGGGGCAAGAGGAGGAAGAAAAGATGGATGAGGAGGAACTGAAAGTGGGGAAGGTCTCACCTTGGTCTTGACCTACCTCATAATTTTGCCAAGAATAGCTTTGAGTGTGCCTCATAGAAAATGAGGGGGAGGGAGGATTTTAAATATAGACTGAAATTTGTGGTTCTAGGTGCGTGAATGTGGACAATAAGCCAGAACTTTCTTCCAATGTTAAAGGTGTGTTCACTGCAGATGAAAGAGCTAGGTAAAAGATTTTGCTCCGGTTAAATAACATTCTTATCTTCTCTGGAAGGAAACAGTGCGGTGAATCTGGATGCTTTTTTTTTTTTTTTTTTTTGTACTTTCTCTTTAATGCAGACTTTGAGAGATGAGAGAATTGTGCTTGGGAACCAGGAGGCTGGGAACAGACAAGCTAAGTTGGACCGGAGCACGTGGGAGAAACTCAGGAAGGACCGCGGGCCTGCTTCAGTGAACATGGGGCTGTAGAGCAGACTGCTGGCTTAAAGGGCCAAGGAACTTTGACTGCAGAACTTCAAAAGTCCATGTGGAGGTAGAAAAAAGGCTCCAAAAAACTTTAACCAGCATTTCATTGTGGATCTTGGAGATGGATTGACCTGGGGGTGAACCCTGGCTCCCCCACCACCTTTGTGGTCTTGGACAAGTCAACCTCAGAGTCTATTTCCTTGTCTGTAAATTGGCAATGCTAGGAACCTTTTAGGGATGTTGTGAGTGTATGAGATGATGCAGAGAGGGTATGATGCAAAGAACTGAGTAAACTGTAGTTATGGTTTAGAGTCCTGGAAGTTGAGATATGTTACTCTAAACCTCTGTAAATGGCTCGTGTAAAGTGAGACCACCAGACAAGATGATCTGAAATTTTTTGACACTATATTTTGTTAAGCAATGAGAGTGCATGGCACTATTATATGCCCAACTATACTATTTTTCTTTAATCCTTGGTCTCAGCTTTGGCATCAGACAGCCTGTGGTCTAATATGGATTCTTCTGGGCAAACCTGGGCAAGTCATTTAACTACATTGTGTCTGTTTTCTCCTCTGGAAGGTAGTGGTGTGCTGGAGCTAGATTTTAACCAGCTCCCAAGAGCCTACTATGCACATCTTTTTCCAGCTCCATCTTCCATGATGTCATATTGGTAGCTTGAAATCTACCAAGTATTTACACCACAGAAATTGGCAGTCACTACAAACCAGGACTTTTCTCCTGCCAGAGAGCCAGTTGTTAAACATCTACCAGCACACAGCTACTTACAAGATTGTTGCAAAGGTTAAAGGAGGTGATGAATGCCAAGGGCTTAGCATATTGCCTAGCACATAATAAGTATTATATATGTAAGCATAGCTGTATATATATACTTTCATCCATCAATTTTTGATTTAAATTGTTACTTTAAAATTTTACTTTTGTAGGGGACAAAATATTACAAGTCTTTCCAGCCTTTTGCTTTTCTGGGATTCCATCACCCCTACCCTTACAGTAGGAGCAACACTGTTTTTACGCTGTGATCCTGCGCTCTGGCTAAGTCTTTCCTGAAGGAATAGTCCAGCTGGTCTCTTTAATGCAGGAGATAATAGATGCTTGGGAGTTATTGGCAGGGGCTACTTTCCAGTACAAGGACTGGGAAGTAAAGAACACCTCTCTGTAGCAACAGAAAGGATGATTCAGATGAAAAGAGAAAAGCAGAGGACAGAAATATTCAGAAATATCCTGGGTTCCCCATACCCCTTCTCTCCTTGTTTCTAATCTCGTGTGAAGGCTGGTTCTATCTCTGCCTTGGGATTCTCTGAATCATGTTTTATTTTAAGTGCCTATAACAGTGCTTGGCACAGAGTAGGTGCTCAATAAATATTTGCTGAATGATTAATAGATGTCACTTTTTGCTTAAGATAGCATGCGTTGGTTTCATCTACTCTATGTTCGAAAGAATTCTAACAAAGCACATGGATCCTGTACTTTGTCAATATCTGAGTCATTAATGGCTAGGGAAAGCTGGCTCTACTCTGACTTTAGACCCCCAGCATTCCTCTGATGGCAGCCCCTTGGTGGTCACAGTTAGTACAGAAGAAGCAATCTTCTTTGAGCTCTAAATGTCTGAGCTATCTCAGTTAAAAAAAAATAATAACATTATAGGTAGTAAAATGATGCTCTGGCTTTTGTCTTTGTGGAATTTTTTTAATTTATGAAGAATTTTAGAAAGGCAATGGGGGAGAGAGAAATGACAGAGTTCTAATATAGGGCGATACATTGGAGAAGAATTTTGTACCACAAACAATGGCTCAATGGGGAAGACGCCTCTATATATTTGGAGTGCACCAGGGCAATAAGGAATTTATTTGTTTCTTGATCACTGTGAAGAATTCCATCGTTGGCAATCTCTGGAAAACCTTCTCAATGACCTGGTATTACTTAGCTGTGCAGGGCTTCTGTTGTGAAAGTCATAAAAACATTGCCTAAGGAATGTGCTCAGAGTAAGTGAAAAGGCCAAGTTAGAGAATGGAAATGACACAATCTCTGATAGTGCAAGAGTTTTAAGCAATTTTGCAGTGCACTTGCAAGATGGAATTCAACCTGTAAAGCATTAGGAGAGAGACCCATAGAACATTACAGTATTTGCTGGAAATAAAAACACAAACACATTTGCTGTAAGCCTTTAAAAATGTTGCAAGTGTATTCTGTCTTGGAGATCAGCTTACATTAGTTCTTGAATCTTCGCTTCCAATTTTTTAGCATCAGCTCCACAAAGTTCAAAAATCTGTTCACAAATACACAAAGGTGAAATATTTATTGATTCAAATATTGCAAAGATGTTGAAGCTTTGAGGAGTTTGGTTCTGTTTGTAAAATTATCCTCTTCTCATTTCTATCATCTGCAAGGTACTTTAAACATAAATGCACATTAAATTCATAATGTTTTAATTATTTGGCACCTTTTCAAAATTGATTATGCTAATGTTTTGCAGATTTATATGATTCTCCATAATATTCTTCTGAACTAAGATCTAAAATATATAATGGTGTTGGGAATGAGGACATTCAATCATTGAAACTTCTCAGCGCTTTTATATATTGGTATCGAGGGCTTGTTAATTCATATACATTACTTCCTGAAATCAAATGGCTTGTGATTTCCCATTCCCTGACTTCTACCCAGGCAATAGTATTATAATCAATTGATTCTAAGAAGTACATTTTCTTTTCAGATTTTCACATCTCTGATTCAGGATGCATTTCACATTGGATAGCATGTTCTATTTTATTTGGAATACTTCCAAGTAGTGTATAAAATAATGGAGCATCTGTCAATGAGCATCTTATATCTGATGAAGTATGGAAGTTAAAGACCCTTATCATTCATTATAACTTTAGTATCAATTGTATGAGGTAGTTGGAGAGAAGGAAGAGTGTGGGTAAATTGAGGCTGGGATTGAGTGAAGACTTGGGAGGTTTCAGCAGCCAGAAATGGTGTTAGGACTTGGAGGTAAGGGTTGGAAAAGTCTAGAACTAACTTCGATGCTCAGTGTGCAGCAGAGAAGAAACTATCCCCACATCTAATGATTCTGCTTCCCCAGGCAGCAGCATTCTGGCTGGGTGCTGCCTGTGGGCATCATGGTTCATTCTGTTCCTTGAAAGTAAACCCATCTTGTGACTCCATCTTTATCCCATATCACTTACCGGCTTGCTCATGAATCCACTTCTATAACAGCAAAGTGCTCTTTTGAATCTTGAGAATAGGGTTACCTAAGTGTGGGTGCAGAATTTCATGATTTATCTGGGTTGTCTGATTTGCAGCCATCTCCTCTATAAATAGTTCTCTTGGCCTTGGCCACTAGGGGAGGGTGTCAGAAAGGATCTGCGAAAGTCCCTCTCTCCTAAGAGTCAGGTGGCAGCTGGATGGTGCTCTAGGGCATGAAGGGAGTTTCATAATCCTCCGAGGTCAGGTACCAAGAGAAGGTGCCAAGAGAGGTCCTAGCAAGAACACAGGCAGAGCTTTGCCACCTGAATGACTGGACTTGGCAGGGAGCAGGAAAAGAATGCTAAGCTTAGCCCAGTGACCGGAGTACTGAGCCCATTACCAAGAAGCTCAGGACTACAGTGAGGCAAAGGAAGCCTTAGCATGCTCCATAGGGCTAGAGGTTGGGAGAGAGGAGCAGGCTTTGTTAACACTTTTCACTCGGGGGCAGCAGGCCTTCCTAGACAGCTCAGTCTGGTCTTAAAGGAGCTTCGCCTCTTGCCTGTAAGCAATGCTGGGGTGGAATGCAGGGTGTGAGAGGTTTTGGGGTTCCACCTCAGTCTTAGTCTGTCTGTCCCCATGGGAGCTGGAAGGGTGGGCATCACTTTGCAGTGGATCCCACTTATCCTTTTCTTGTGGCTTCTCTCCAAGATTCCTCCCGAGTCTCTATCCTCTACTCCACTGCTTCAGGAGTAGCTTGACTCCAGTGAAGGCGCAGGTTACAGCTGAGCAGAAGAGAGACACTGGCAAGGAAGGGATGAGAAGTTCCTAAGGTGTGTCTGTTCCCCATGACCACTGCCATGTAATTCTAGACAGTCTCCCGGACCCCCAGTGGTCTATAAGAAGATATGATATGTAATCCTATCCAAGTTAGCCAATCCTATCCAAATGTTATCCAAGGATAACATTTTTGTTATCCTTATGACAATAACTCTAGAAGATCTGATTATGACTGCTTATGTTAGGGCCTCCCCCACTGCCAAAGGGCAGTGGGGGGCCAAAGAGAGCTTGGGAGCTCCTAAAGATAGGTTTCTTTTCTTGGAGGAGACTGCCCCTAATGGCACAGTCTCTAGGGGTGTAAGAAATAGGAGGGCACAGTCCTAAAGGGAGATTTCTAGGGAGGGGTGATTTCCATGGCCAAGAGGTTATGACATGCCTGTGCTGTGACGCTTGGACAGCCACCAAGGGCAGCCAGAAGCCACAAGTGAAATAAGAGCCTTGGCTACTGTGGAATTTGACTCCTCCTCTTGCTAGGTACATTGAACTCCGCACAGGGCACCATCACCCACCCTGTTACTCAAGCCAGGAAACCGAGGCCACATTTAAAAAATTCATATACATTCAGAAAATTGCACAAATTCTAAGTATAGAGTTTGGAGAGTTATTACAAAAGAGAGCACACCTGCATAACCATGTCCAGATCAAGATATGGAGCTTTACCAGTAGCCAGACACCTCCCTCCCACACATTACCCTATACCCAAAGGACTGTTCATCATAGGAAAAAAAATACTCTATGAATTTTTCACCATCAAATAATATAGTCTGCTTTTGAACTTGGATAAATGGAATTCTACAATGTGTATTCTTCTGTATCTGCATTCTTACACGCAACATGATGTTTATGAGATTTATCTGTGTGGTGGCAGTCCATTCATCTTTCAGTGTGTTTTAGTATTCCATTGCTTGACTACAACACAGTTTATCCATCTTGCCTTTGACCAATAGTGCTACTAGGAACATTCTTTTCCATATCTTTATGGGGACGTCTTTGGGGGCATATAAGCACTCATTTCTGTTGGGTTCTGTTGTACACACGAAAGTGGGATTGCTGAGTTCAGCTTTAGTAGGAGATACCCAACAGGTTTTATACTTTATACTGCCAGTCTTTTTCATGTTAGCCATTTTGGTGGCTTAGATGACATTAAAGTTGTCATGAAATACGTGGATTTTACCTCATCAACTTTCACCCGGACTTTAGCAATAGTTTATAACTTGTCTCTCTGTCTCCAGTCTTGTGCCCCTTAGATCCCTCTCCTCCTTGAAGCTCAAAAACACAAATCCAGTCATGCCATCCTTCTTTGTAAAATTCTTCAATGTTTCTCTATCACCATAAAATCCATGCTTCTCACAGGGTTTCTTTGAATTTGTCGTATATTCCTCAATTGTCGCTCTCTGCCTTAAACTCTGACCTTCAGCAACACTTTATGGTTGGAGTCATTTATTCATTTAACAAATACTTAATGAGTGCCTACTATGAGCCAGACATATTGTGAACAAAACAGACAAAATTCCCCCATGGAGCTCATATTCTAGTGATAATTTTATAATTTCATATGATTGTTGTATTATTATCAAATAATTCCTGACACACGCCCATGGTATTTTATAACTCTCTGCTTCTTCTCATCTTTTCTCACTTGCTAATCATACTTCAAGATTTAATTCATAAAGTCTTCCCTGAAGTCTTTCTCTGTGATCTCACAGTACCATGTGCAATCCACTATGAAAGAGTTGATTTAAAGAGTTGATATTAAAGAGTCTTTTGCACCAGACCAAAGATGGAAGACTGTACCTTATTTCTTCCTCCATATTTTTAGTACCCAGAACCTTACACTTATGTGCTCTATTCAATGGTTTTAGGCCTGAAGCGAGTTGAGCTAAGCTGATTTCTGGTCACTGAAATACAGGTCTAAGACTCTGAGTAGTATTAAGTTTCACGGACTAGGAGTTACCTGTTTTATTCTTTCTCTGTCCAGTTTGCCAAAGATAAATATTATATTTGTGTCTCCTATCTAGCACAGGGCTTTGCATACAGGTGCTTAATAAATGTAGTTAATGAATGAGGAACAGTTTACTGATAAGAGCTCATTTCATAAGTAGCTTTCTTTTGAAGAGATACGTATGCAAGGCAACTAGCATATAATTTCTGCCCCTCATTTTACCCTGAATGTTTGGCTGTACCTCTCAAAGGCACGCTCCACTCTGAAGAATCAGGAGGCAATGTTTACTTCCCTCTTCTCAATGCCTTCATTTTACATGCACTGCTGCCACCCTAGTAAAGACTGCTAATTAAAATGATAAGCTCCAGTTTGCAGAGACCAATGGGATATGGGGTGGCTATCCAGGCATAACAGAACCACCTATGTCCAACAGTCAGGTTTTTTTCAAATCTTTCATTATGGACATTTTCAAACGTATACAAAAATAGAGAGAATTTACCATCACCCAGGTCCAACCAGAGGCAATTCTTTATGCCAAAGACATTCAATCACCTACAAAAAGTCTATTACTATTACTGAGAAAATGCAAAGGAGCTGGAGACAGTGGTCCCTTCCTAACAAATGGACTTGTGAGAGTATAAATTAAGGAGTCTGATTAATGATGCACTCATAGAATAATTATAATGAAACGCCTTGGCAGATTGATATACAATTGGTTGAGTGAATACTGAAATAATATTTGGACCAGCTGTAGGAAAGCTCAACAATTTTCCAGACATCTATACTCAGTTAAAAACAACAACCGAATGCTCAAAACAACAGCAACAATAGCAACACAAATAAAAAAGCCCAACCAACCAACCAATGCACGACACTTTTTTGGAGACAGCTGTAGAAATATTTGTATGTAAAATAAAATTTGATAATTTGAAATAGTGTGATGTTCTTTTGTCTCTTTATGAAGGGTTTACTAAGGCATTAAGTCTTATTAATAAGATGGGAAGGATATGTCTAACAAGGGAAATTATAAAGGTACTTCAACCTTCCATTGAGAGGTGGACAGTGTTCGTCACTGATTGATCCTATCTTGGTTTCTTTCTCTGACTCCACCCAGACCCATTCCTTCCCTAGAACTATCTGCATCACACTGCAGGTGTTTGTACACTTCCCCTTTGACTTTCACAACACCCAGGGCAGGCCTTGCAAATGCAAGCAGCTCAGTTAAGGTTTTTGGAGTTGAGCAAAACCAAATCAAGAAGACAGAACCTCTTAGAAATGGTCTGTTTTAAACAGCTTGAGTTTAAGAATTGAAGAAATTCACTTGAATTCAAGAAAAGAGCATATAAAAGCAATCTATTATCTAATTATTTTCTAATCTATCTATAATCTAATCTTCTCAACTTGTTCCAGCAGTGAGATTTCAGTAAAATACTAATTTACTTTCATTTTCTTGTAGCTGATTCAGAAACTCTGCCTACATAACTTTTCTAGAGCACTGGTGGCATAAATAATGGCTAAAGTGCTTTTTTTCTTCTATGCTAGGGGCTGACAAATGTTTTTGTAAAGTGCCCAATAATACATACCTATTTTAGGCTTTCCATGCCACATGGTCTCTGTTGAAACTATTCAATCTGCTATTGAGGTGCGAAAGTAGCCATAGAAAATATAGTGTATTTAAACAAATGGGCATGGCTGTGTTTCTGTAAAACTTTACAAAACCTGGTGGAGGGTCAGAATTGGCCCTCAGGGCATAGTCTGCCAATCCTTGTTCCTTGACATCAACTGAAGTTGTTGAAGAGACACATGAAGCTGCCTGCGAGCTAGTTACTCAGTACAATGTGGCTTTCTGTTGAAGCAAAAAAGGAGCATGAGTCTAATGTTGTGGGAATTCATCTCAAGCCACACTGAGAATAGGAAAAATGATTTGGACTCTGGCCAGAGGAGATGTCATTGTGCCCATTACTGGAAGTGTGGGATAGAACTTTGTTCTCGGGGATAAAAATGGTTTTGGAGTCATTCTCTTCAATGGCATATACTCTTGTTCTCATGTTTCCATTGGAGAATCTGCTCAACTCTCCAGTCCTGGGAAAATATACCCGTTTCCTATATTCCTTCACTGACTTCTCCCCAAATTCAGAGGCGAGCTTATCAGTTGAGCCTAGACAAAGGAATGAGCTCATGCCCATCCTCTCTCTTTTTAAGTGTTCTGCTCAAGGGACAGGTCTCCTGTTCCTCCCACCATTCTCCTACTGGAAAGCACACCTGAAGTGAGCCTAAGATCTGCCT